ATACCACTCAGCTGTAAAAAAAAAAATCAAATCTTGTCCTTGTGACAATATGGATGAAACTCGAGTGTGTTTTGCTAAGTCAAATAAGCTAGGCAGAGAGATAAATATTGTATAATTTTGCTTACATGTAGAATCTTCAAAAAACAAAAAGAGTAAACAAAACAAGATTAGACTCACAGATACAGAGGAGAGATTGGCTACCAGGGGGAAAGAGGGTTGGAACATACATAAATGAGCGAGGGGGATCGAAGGATACAAAGACCCAATATCAAGGCAAGTACATCATGGATGTAACACACAACAAGGGGACAGCAGTTAATATCATACTAACTTTGAATGGTGAGACAGAGTGACCGGGCTTACTGCAGCAATCACTGTGCACCTGTATGCAAGTGTTGAATCACAATTGTATACACCTGACACAAATATGATGCACCAAATTACACTGCAATAAAATAAGAATACTTGATGTGTTTCTTTTGTTTTTTTTTCAGATTTTTAACTTTATTCCTATGCACTTTAAATCACCATTTCCATAACAAGTAGGTCTTCATCACATTTCCTACATGATTGTTGTTATATAATTTGCTCAGCACCTTACTGATTTTCACTTTTTGAAGTCTGCCAGATAGTTTTAGAGTTTCAACATGCAATGTTATATTGTCTTCTTGCTGAAATTTTCATCTCATTTTTTTTGTTTTTGTATGCAGTGCATTATCAAAATAATTTTAACTGTCAGTAAAGAGAAGGGATCTACCTGTTTGTGTCTGATCTCAGCAGATCTGATTACTTTCCTTCGACTAAAAAAGACAAAAGTGCAGAGATATTTCTATTCTGATTTCTCTCTAATATTTATTTTGATGTCATTGCAATATTTTGCATAAATCTGATCGTAGGTGTGCTGGTTACACTTTGGTACCCATTATGCCACACAATGAAATAGTACTAAGTCATAAAAAATGCAGGGCTCCCCTGTCATTTGTAAAGCCATGAATGACCCTTGAGGCATTATACTAAGTGAAATAAGTTACAGAGAAGCAAATACTACATGATCTCATTAATATATGGAATCTACAAAAGCAAAACTCACAGAAACAGACAACAGGTTGGTGGCTTCTGGGGGCAGGTCGGGAAGAGGAGGAAAATGGGGGAAGGTCACAGGAGAAAAACTGAGATGTCCAGAATTAAATCACAGGGGTCGGAGCATGAGAGTGAGACAGGAGAGACTGGAGCTCACAGCTACAGGCAGGCTGCCAACAGACGGCTCCCATCACTGACTGTGTGCGGGCTGACTGTGTGCGGGCTGACTGTGTTCTGCTTCCAGGCAGCTGTCTGAAAAGAGGGAACTGAACACCAGATTCTGGAGCACACTGTGTGAACTCTCAAGACTGCCGCCCACACTCAGGAGGAGGCCATACTTCTTCCTCCCAGACTGTGAGCTTTCTCCTTTAAGTTTTGGTCAACTTCCTAATTTACCTGTTTATTAATTTTTTTCAAAAAGCAGCTTTTATATTCCCATTTTCTAATCTACTAACTTTTGCTTTAATCTTTCTTAATTATTTCTGATTATGTGTGTATGTTTGCATGTATGTTGTTTCTTTGAAGTTTATAGATCTGGGGACCTGTTTTATTAGGTAATTTGCCCTTCTCAACAGTGTGTATTAATTAGTGCTTGAAATTAGCTTTACTCTGAGCACAGATTCAGTACTATCCTATGGAGCATGGTATAATTTTAAATTACTCATTCTGTCCTGCTAAATGATTTGGATTCACTCTTCCCTCAAATTATGTTTGAGAGACACTTAAAGGAATTTTCATATAGTAGTGGCTTATTTTCTCGCACTGACATCAGAGAATGTTACCTATATGACTAATTTCTCAATTTATTTGACAGTTTCATTGTGATCCAATACAATTATTTTTTTATTAGTGCCCATTCAGTGCTGGAAAATGGGATATGCTATATATTTTCACGGCAAAAATTCTGACCTGTACTAATTTACTTTTTCTGCACTAGCACTGGGCCATTTTCCAAGTATCTTTTTTTGCCAACCACGCCCGAACCTATTCCATGCCGAGACTGTAGTTCAGCATCTGCTGTGGAAACAAACTGTCCCCACAAGCTGTTTACAAAAAATGCAAAACAGAGCAGCTTATGGGCACTGGTTATGAATTGGAAATGTTTCCCCTTTATGCCGCTGAAGTTTGGTGAATGGATTCAGTGACAGGGGAGGCAATCATCTCTGAGGGGAAAGGGGCACCAGGTAAAGTATTAGCATCTTCACAAGTCTGTACACCCACCAAGTTCAGACACACGAAGCGCAGGCACAGCAGACTTGCTTCTTCACGAACCTGCAATCAAACCTTCAGGACAGACCCCAGGACGGAGTCCGCGCGTCCCTGTGGGGGAGGGGCCGCACACACTGCGAATCGCTCGCAGACCAGACCTTTGTGTGCTAGTGCTCCTTTGTTCCGACTCCAACAGGGCGGCAGCTGCCCAGCCGCGGTCTTCACCTGCCGGCACTGGAGACGCACTAGGGACACACTGGGGACACGTTTCCCAGTTCGTTCTGGGTGACGTCCCTGTTATTTGACCTCTTTCTGAATGAGCTGATGAGGGACAAGAAATGTCCTATTTTTAAATTTCACCGAGATTTAAATTTCTTATTTAACTCATGCAGACATCCACCCCAAATACATCTCTGTTGTTTACTATAACTCCAGGATTAGAAGAGCATTTTTAGTTTTACCTGAATAACTTTTGCCGGAAAAAAAAATACTTGGTCTCTTTGGAATTATGACCATAAAGGTTATGAGCCCCATTTTTATGAAAATAATAAAAATAATAATACTACCTCCCTTCACATTCCAAAGATTCCCAAAGAGAAAAACGGAGTGAATATTAATTCTTGTGTAAACTCTGTTCAGGCCCCAAAACACACATCAATCCCACTTTTATCGTTGCCATTTAAAAAATATCACGTGACTCAAGCTCCTTGCCCAATTATATTTGATCTTCACAACAGCCCTGCAAAGCATGTGCTGTTGTACCCATTTCTCACATAAAGAAACTGGAGTGTGGAACATTAAACTAACCTGCTCCAGAATGCATGGCTGGCAAAGGGCCAAGGCAGGATTCTAATTACCCTTTTCCTGTTGCCCAAACATTTTATCTCCTTTACTACCCTCATCTCACTGAGCCCCCTGAATTTTTTCATCGTCTGGTGCAAGATCCCATTTGAATTAAAATGTGCCGTTGCATGTAAGGTAGTGTGTGTTAGGACGGTGTTCAGAGCCTCCCACATGCAGTTTAAAAACCCCTCTTTGACAGCTTCGCCAGCACTCACAGCTCACTGTGAGCCTTTGGAATCCGCGCATCTTGAGTGGCCCCACCTCGTCCTTTTCTTGAGTGGTTTGGTCATCTTAAGCCCTCCAGACCTTGTGTGTTTGGGATGACCTTGGAGATGGGTGCATGTCTGGAGGCATCCAGGGCCTCCTGATGGGTGAACTCTTTGAATAAGAGGAATCAAGAAGGAAGGACTATGGCAATGACCCCAGTGAAAGCAGGCTGAGATACTTCCATGTAGAACCAGGAATCTGGTAAAAGGGGAGAGGCAGTGCAAAAATAGGAGAGGCGGAGGCATATTCTGAGAAGGAGACCCAGAAACACTGAGCCTGACAGCCCAGAGATAATGCCCTGAGGCTCCCACACTCTGTAGGAGTTTGTTGTGCCCACCTCTCTGCTGAGCATGTATATGTGGGACCACCATGACTGTGACCTGTACACCATGTTCCATTCACTGTCCCACTAATTTATATTTATAGGATATAAATTATCACAGCAACATCAGCAAGTAATTTAAACTCTCTACCTTATTTACCTCATCAGGATGACAGGGGAAATTATAGTAAGCTGGTTATAAGAATTAAATTCATGCTTTGCAGAGTGCTCAGTACATGCTAGAAACTCTGCAAATACATTCTTTGTTGGATAGTCAGCAGGCCTCCAGTGTATTTTTGGCTATCTGAGCCCAGGGAAGAGCACTCTTCAGTGAATTCACACAGCATTTTATACAGGCCCATTAAGTTGTTAAAATAGGGCTGTTCAGCTCATTCTTTCCTTGTTCAGTTATTGAAAAGATGTATTAAAATCTGTCACTCAGGCTTTGTATTTTCTATAATTACCAATTATTTATTTGTATAACTGATGCTGAGTTATTAAAAGAATACAAAATTGGAATAGCTTTATCTTCCTGATAAATTATAACTTAATGTTTATGTGCCATCCTATTTATCTGGCAATGCATTTATCCTGAATATGCATTTTACCCAGAAGTCACGGCATCTGCTTGATTAATTTTTTTCATCTTATCACTTTCAGTGTGTCCGCATTCTGATATTTCAGTTGTGTTTTAAATAGCATATAGTTTCATTTTAGTTATAGTCAAGACTGAAAAATATTTCACTTTTATCTTAAACCACTTTCATTTAACTTAGTTATGGTGTGTTTGTGTTATAAACTTTCAGCATCACTATTGCATTTAGTTTTTGGTTCTTTCTAGATTTCAGGTTTTTGCCTTTCCATTCTTGTATTCTGACTAGTTTCAACATTTTTATTTTTCTTTCGTGAGCTTTTCAATTCCATGCAGAAAACTTCTGTCAAAAGCCCATTGTGTGGATGGTCAAGCGATAACTGAGAATACCAAACATGGAGCGTTGTGCCCAGAATTGTACTGTGGACACACACACACACACACACACACACACTTCTGCATTTACAACAGCAGGGCAAGCCGTTAATGCTGTCATGGAAATCACCAATGTCCTACTTAGTAAGTCCTTTAAGATCTGTGCCATATTTGGCCAGATTGACTTGAACACCCTTTTTCATTACATGCAAACCATGGTAGCCTGAGAAAGGAACAGACGAATTATCCATTCACCTCACACTCACACAAAAGTGAATGCTGTCAGCCTTTGACCTTTAGCATCCAGTTCTGTATTTATTTTATTACACACACAATATACTACATTACGAGATATATATGTCCTTTATATATATGTTCAGATAACTTTTATACTCACTCATATGCATATATGCTTATATATAATTTTTAAATATATACGTCCACATATAATTTCACATCAAGTTAAGCAGGATGAAAACATGTAAACATATACACCTGGTTCTGGTCAAGTAAAACACAAACGCACGAGGTCACCACAAGTTAAAAAGTGCACTTGAAAGGAATCAGGGAAAGAACAGACATGTAAACAGCAGAGACGAGCAGCTGCACGCACAAGGCCCCCCGAGGGTCCATTTCTTAAAGCTGTAGCAGCAAAAACTTCCTCGTTCAGTTAAGACTTCTCCCTTCACCCTGTCCCATTTACTCTTGAGGGGCTTCAAAATGAGTGTGGAAATCCTGTAAACACTAGACTAGAACTGAGTCAATCCTGTTGAAAACAGAGATGACAAAATAAACCATAAACTGACAGCAATGATGCATTTCACCAAACAACAAGTTTAAAAACGTTTTGTGACTTTTGTGACACACCACACTCTTTGGGGGAGAGAAATGGGGATGGGCAAGAAAACGGATGGATGATCTATAGAAATGGCTCCAACAGCTGCCGTACATGGTAGATGTGTCTATAAACAGGGAACAGGCAACGGCCGATGACAGAGCCTCAGCACACTACACCACATGCCACAGCGAAATGCCACAGACTCAAGCGGGGATATGTTCCCAGCGCCCCACGGAGCAAGTCCCACTGGGTGTCTGAGAAAAGCTCCTTATCTCCCAGTGGAAAAAAACACTTAAACAACAACAGACTGGCCAGCCAAAGCGTGACAAGCTCTTTTTTACTGGTTTGAAAGAGCATGCTGCCCTCTCCCACCTGCTCAGGCTCCGAAGGTCTCCTGGGGTGACCGCCGCGGGCCCCATTCCCCTGCCTCTCAGGCTCCTCCTGCTCCTCCTCCTCCTCCTCCTCTCCCTCGCCCTCAGGGTCTGCATGCTTGTAAAGACAAGTCGCTCCAAAGGGACAGCAACCCCTGCCTGGAATATGATACCTGCAGGTCTTGGTTCTCAGGGTCGCCTTGTACTTCCGAATAAGTTCCTCCTTCTCATGCTCCTCCTCCACCCAGAACTCACTGGGAATGACAAGGTTGGAGGTGACCCTGCACTCCGGGCAGGATTTGATAAGCCTGTTCCTAAACTCTCTGGCAGTCCTCCACCTGCGGATGCACTTAAGACAGAAGGAGTGGTTGCAGTTGGAGAGGATGCCAAAGCGGCAGTCACTGGGGTTGGCTTTCTCATAGATAACCTCCATGCAGATGCCACACACTTTGTCCTTGCTGCGCTGCACGGCAAACGAGAGCTCCATATCTCTTTCGTGCATTTCAATGCAGGCTCTTATGTGGTCTGCCCGCTGGTCAGCATCCATCGGGTGCAAGACCTGCTGCCCACACAAGTCGCATATCTCTCCGTGGAGATACGCACAGCTCTCCCCACGAAAGCACTGCCCCATGGCAGCATCGCGGCAAAGCTGCGTCCCAGCGCCCAGAGCAACGTACTCCCACTCAGTCGCCGAGCTCTGAGAAGGAGCTTCGGGGGCAAAAACGGTCCCCCGGCCCCGATAGGGCTGCCCAGGAACAAACTCAACGGCATCCGCCCAGCTTGCCGCCGCGCCCGCCCAGCCTTCCGCACCCGCTCCCTGCGCAGCTTCCAGGCCTGCGCCTTCGGTCTCGGCTTCAAAGAAGCCCCCTTCAGCAGCCGAGCCAATCACAGGCAAGTAGCGTGAGGACGCAGCAGGAGGGGCGCACGCCACTTCCTGAGGCAGGGGCTCGTCTTGCGCAGCCGCGCTGGGGCCTGGCTCTGCAGAGGCCCCAGGCGGCGACCCGCGGCCCTCCCTGGCCTCCTGCCGGCCTGAGAGGTCGTGGGAGTAGCGACAGTTCTCCCCCTCCTTGCACAGCCCATGCAGATAATACCTGCAGACGACTTGCTTTGTCCAGCTGCCGCTGCGGCGTGGGCCGGGAAGAAAGCTGGGCCCGGCCCCGCCCCCGGAAGCATAGGCAGGCCTAAGACGTACCGTGCGGAAGGGGGCTGGGCCTGCAGCCGTAGGATGCCGGGTAACTGGGCGCGTCCGGTGGCTGGGCCTCGGAGGACCCTCACCTTCTCCCTGGGCACCTGTTGGGGCATCGGCCGCCTCGTGGGGTTCTTTGGGAGCTGCAGGCTCTTCCATTGCACCTTTAACACCCCAAAACGGCGCCAAAACCGCCCCAGTATCGCTTCTTTTCGGGCTCGAGGCCAGGAGCCGGCACGGCGCTCCTTACTGGGAGGTGTGCATTTTTTTTCGGTCCGTGTTACCACCACTTCCTGTTACTATAGGTTCCTACCTCCTTCTGTTCCCGGCAGGCAACACGGACACTTCCGGTGGGTGCACCTGCAGTTTCCTACCCGGTCCGCGCGAACAGTAAAATCTTATCGCGGGAACACAGACCTCGTGCCTCCTTTGTTCCTGGCAGGCGGGCTCTCTGCCTGTCGCCTGTCACCTGGCCTCTGCCGCCGCAGCCGCGCTGCACAAGGGCTCGTCCGGAGGATGTTATCACCACCCTTTGAGGTTTTAATTTAATCTCCTCTGCTATTCACGCAGACGCATTGCATTTGATTGTTCATTCGGATGTATTTGTTTTAAAAATCATTAAACCATAACCGTCATTTCTCCCTACCATGTTGAAAAGTTCACCTTGTTTCCGACACATCTGACACGTGAATTTTATGAACTATATTGTTCCTATTATGTCTGTGTGGGGCTTTTAATTTATTTCTTTTTTGCCCCACGATAGTCAGTGATGGAACCTTTAATCATTTTTGTTTTATTGACAAAATTTGTTCTGGTCTTTATTTTCTGGAAATTCGTAGGGGCTTCCGTTGAGAATGCTTTTGGTCAGCGAGGCATGAGCAGGGGGAGCTTTTGATCTGAGTCCATTTTTTTGTGTGCCTTTCTGGCATCTCAGTTTATTAGGATTTCTGATGGTCCCCTTTCTCCACTGTGCAAAAGCTGCAGGCTTCTTTCTTTCCTAATGCTGACTTAATAAGCCGCTGTTCCCGGGCTGACCCAGGCTTTTATTTTCTCATGCTAGTTTAAGTCGTGGTTCCCCTTTGTTTTCCTTGCTTTCTTTCACCAGGGTTTGTGCTGCATTGTGGTAGAACAGCCTTTCACAGCATATTCTCTATCATCAGCTCACAAGTGGTGCTTTTTAATTTCCACCTGCGAGCTCTTTGTCATTTTGTAGATACATTTAATAAGTTTAGTAAAAATATTTTCTGTTTCTAGTTTGCTAAGGGTAATAATCATGAATATATCCTGAATTTTATCAGGTAGTTTTCTGAATATTTTTGAGATATTATCGTGTGTTTCTTCTTTATTCTTTTCATGTGATTATTTGCACTGATAGATTTTTAAAGATTTACCATTGTCCCAAGAATAAATCTGGTATGATATATCATCATTTTATATAGTACTGAATGTTGTTTGCTAAAACAAGTTTTTTAGAATGAATTTTATATCCTAAATTTATATCTTAAAATGAGAGAAAGTCTGGATATAGCACCTTAATCAGATTGAAGCAAATAACAAAGTTAGGAAATTAATCAAAGGAAAACAAGCATGAATAAGGGGAGTGAATCAAACAAAATTTTTTGAAATGATTACTGAAATTCCTGGTGAAATTTATCAGGGAAAATGAATAAGGCACAAATAACCAGGATCAGAAATTTAAAAACTGGTATCCCTACATTAATGACACATTAAAAATCATGAAGGAATATCAGGAACGAGGTTAGACTATTAAACCTTAAATTTTATATGAAATGGTCATATTTCTAGAAACACATTTATTAATAAAAATGATGGGCAGAAATAAGAAACATACATATTGATCTGTTGGATAAATTACTCTGTAGTTAAAAACAATTCTTTAAATGAAAGCTTTTAAAGACTTCTGCCTGAAAAAAATAGAAAGGCAAAAAGTCCTGTATTTATTATTGCAAATCCTTGCTAGTACAAAAAGGCAAGCAAAGAAAAGATGTTAAAATTGGAAAGGAATTTTTAATGAAAGATCCAAAAATGAAAATGACATTGGTAAAAAATATTAGGTTTAATAAATCCATTTAGCAAGGACATCAGATAGGACTTCAACATACAAGGTCAGTTGTATTTCTATACACTGTAACATTACAAAGGCATAATCAATGACATGAAAACATTTAAAACTCACAGCATTTACACCAACATTAAAAGATAACCATCTGAGGAATTAAACTAATTAAAATGGTGAAACTTGAGATTACTTTTGTTCATGAAGGACTTTCCCACCACGAATTAGAATTTTCCTCCTTTCTATCATTGTGGAATTTTGTGCTGGAGATAGCAGTTCCTCCGAGGTCTGACTCACTTGCATTCTCCGACCTCCTCTAAATACATTTGTTCACAGATCTTCCTTCAACGACCCCTAAGAGTTTTGCAGAAGAAAAATTTGGGGCACAGATACCAGGCTTAAGTTCCAGGCTTTTCACAGATTCACAAACATAAGAATCCTGAGTATAAACCTATTACTTGTTTAATAGTAATATGTTCCAAGCACTGTGTAAATTATATTTGATCTATGTTTTTAATAAACCAGTTCTATGATGATTGTGTATATATGATTTTTAGTGCAATGGACACTCACTCCATGTGGCTTTTTGAGCAACTGAAATGTAGCTCGAGTGACTTAGGAACTGAATTTGTATTTTTTTAAAGATTTTATGTGTTTTATTTTTAGGCAGAGGGGAAGAGAAGGAGAGAGGGAGATAAACATCAGTGTGATTGTCCCTTGCGCAGCCCCTACTGGGGACCCATCCTGCAACCCAGGCATGTGCCCTGACTGAGAATCAAAGTGGTGACCCTTTGATTCACAGGCCACCACTCTATCCACTGAGCCACACCAACCAGGGCTGAATTTTTTTTGTAAATTTCAGAGTTAATTTAAATAGCTACCCATGACTAGTAGCTACTGTACTAGACAGTGAAGTTCCAGGTAGTGCCTGGCCATCTTATTTCCTCGAACAGGAGGGAACAGAGATTACCTAACCTGCCCAAGGCTGTGCTTCTGTCACCAGGCACTGCTTGCTTTCCAGTCCCCACCCATGTGCTTCCCAATCAAGTTCATGTCCCACCCCCTCACAGTGAACTGTACCATTTAGTTTTATAGTGCATGAGACAGAATTGCATGTGCACTATCAGAAACTCAAACCCTATCTTCTGCCCTGGCTGGTGTGGCTCAGTGGATGGAGCACTGGCCTGTGAACCAAAGGGTCGCTGGTTGGATTCTTAGGGCACAGGCCTGGATAGAAGACCAGGTCCCATATAGGGGGCATGCAAGAGGCAAGCACATATTGATGTCTCTCTCCCTATCTGTCTCCCTTCCCATCTGTCTACAAATAAATAATCTTAAAAAAAAATAAAATCCTATCTCCTGATTATAGCATGTGAGACTGAATAACTGGAAATAGCAGGCAGTGCATCTTGGAAGAAATAAACAAGTATTTCCCATCCCAGTCAAATTATAATCTTAAAGAATTTTCTCTGTCATAGTCCATTTTCCTGTCCTGTTCCCCACCCCCCCAGCATTGATGTTTTCACTTTCTATGCAGTCTCTGAGCATAGACATCTGGCCATTTCTCTCAGTTTATTCTCACCGCCCCCCAAAGCACTGTGTGCCTCAAGGCCTGGGACTTTACTGTGACAAACTGGTGTACCCACAGCAGTCTGAAGGGCCGCACAGGATTTCTGGCTGGTCAGCATTTGGGGGTCCAAGTTAAAGGAAGGGAAGCAGCATTCCACCTGAGTGGGCAGTGCTTGGCCCCCTGGTTACCAGGGAGCAGAGGGACAATGTGGGAGGTGCTTTACAGCAATGCAACGGTGACACAGTCCAGACAGCCTAACAAAAGCCTGAGAGGCGGGAGCCTAGCTCAGAAGTGGACTGTAGGGTCAGACAGAAAAGGACAATCTTTTATCCCAACGGGTTGAGGCCTGCTGGGCGGAGCCCTACATCACGGATAGGTCTGTATTCAAAGAACACACATTGTCTCATAGCAGTTTCCTCCAGCACACACACCTGCTTCCAGTCCAGCGTTCAGGTGTATGTGTTGGTTTGGGGAGTGAGCTGGTGGGAGGGGGGATTGAAGGCGAGTATTCTTATAACAATTATTGCACCAGTGCCTGTTACAAGGGACAGTCTTGGAGACCCCCGTGGATGTCTTTTGTATTTTAGAATCATCCCAAGAATCCTGCAACCAAAGTCACTGTCGACATCCTCCGTTTTGGTTCTCTGCATGTAACAGTAATATATCTACAGATCTTTGGAAGTTCGGGGCACATGAGAGGTAGTGAGTCAGTACTAACTTTCTCATGCTGATGGACCAACTGACTTTTATTTTGAAACTTACAGAGGCAGGTGTCTCCAACTCTTAATTCCTACGTCCAAGCTCACCAAGCTGAATATATTAGTTATGTGCAGTATACCTCAGTTATGCTGCAGTAAAGCTGGGAAAACTAAGTTGAGCTTTAAAACCAGGTGAAATAAGATGTTACTTAAAAAAAAAGTTCAGTGGTAAACACGTCTTTGCAGTGTTTTTTGTCTGCTTGTTTGTTTTTTTGCCCTCTCATCCTGTGAGATTCTGCACAGAACAGACTGGGAGAAGGGAGCTGTTTCAAGGAATCCACATCAAATACTCAAAAAATGCCTTTCTAATTTGATATATCAGCATGGATATTAAAATAAAAGTGTAACTGCCCTGGCCAGGTGGCTCAGTTGGTTAGAGCATCACCCCATACACCAAAAGGTTGTGGGTTCAACTCCTGGTCAGTGTACACAGGTTGTGAGTTCGATCCCCAGTTGGGAGTATACCAGAGGCAACCAATCAATGTTTCTCTCTCATATCTACATTTCTCTCTCTGTCCCTCTCTCCCTAAAACCAATAAACATATCCACTGGTGAGGATTAAAAAAAAACCTGTAACTGCTGCTCAAACACTCAGTTTGGCATTATAAAAAAATTGCTCTCATGATACACATTACACTGAATTATCTACACTGTAATTAAACACTGAAAATTTCAATACATCTCCCAGGTGCTTTTCCACAAGTGCCAACAATTCAGCTTCATGTACACTTTAGTGTGTTTAGCAGACTTTTGTCATGTTCACATTGCTATGGTTTTACCTCAATTTTTTCCAACATACTTAAATTTTAATGTCTAGCTATGTGAAAT